GTGACTTCGGGCAGGGCGCGGCTTGAGAGCGCCGTCTGCGCCCACCGCGGCCGCTGGGAGGCGGAGCTCGGCCCGCTGCCCGGCCCGCGTTCCCCTCTGCGGGGCTCACACGCGAGCGCTGCTGCACTGCAGCGACCCAAGGACAGACGCGCCCCCTCCTGACAGCCAGCGGTTAGCAAGCCGCAGACTGAGAGGACCAGGCGGGCTGGCCGTGCCTCTCCGTGACCTCCTGCCTCAGCCTCCCCAGCGCTGGGATGGCCGGTTTGCGCCGAAACCCTGCCTCAGCAGCAGCCTAGCCGCGCCTTTACCGGGCACTCCCGCGCTCTCCCACCCACCCGTGGGAGGGGACTACGCTACCCTCCCCAGGGCTTCGTGAGGCCCAAGCGGGAAAGCAAATAATTGCTATTTGTGTAGAAGTAGCCAGGAGTTTGGTAGCTGTGCCAATGACGTTGTCACGGATGAAAATAAGGTTAGGCCGAGGATATAGCTCAGCGGCCCAAGTGCCTGCCTGGCAAGCGCAAGGTCCTGAGTTCAATTCCTGGTACCAAAGAAAAAAAAAAAAGAATGCAGAAGACGCACGTTACTTTCGTATCACTGGCCGCGTGCACGGGACTGAATCACTGCACTCTTGATGCTAACCAGGAAGTGCCGGAAGCTGCATCTCTTGCCTCTGCTCGGTGTTGCGCTGGCACCACGTGGGTTCATTCGAAGGGCCCATCCCAAGAAGACAGTGAAGCGGCTTCCGCAGAGCCCCCAACTACTCCCCAGGCGACCCAGGAGAGGATCTCACAATTGCACTGTACCGTCCCCTCCTCCTAATACCTGCTACTCTCGGACCGGAAGGGGCTGGAGAGGGGGCAGTTGCAGAATGGTTTCCAAACGTCTATGGAAGTCAAGTTGCAGCTGTGAGTTCCCTTCCCGGGGCCTGGGAGCTCGGCTTGACCATCAGGCCTCACTGGGACATACATGCAGTGTTTACCAACATACGAATCACCATAATTTTGTTTTTTCTGAAACATCACATATTTGCCTTAAGCCACGAGTGACGGCACACGCCTGTAAATCTTACCACTCTGGAGGCTGAGGCAGGAGGATCACAAGTTTAAACTCAACTTGGTCAATTTAGCGAGGCCTTTCCCCCCCAGAGTCAGGGATGTAAGAAAGAAAGAAAAGAAAAGAAAGGCTGGGGATGTGACTCACAAGTCCCCGGATTCAATTCCCACTACCGCTAAATAAATAGCTGCCTTAACCTGTGTGCAAAATAGCAACGCCAAGCATTCCACCACATTGGTGAGTGAAGTCTATTTTGGCAATACACTTTAGCCTGTGTGGCTCTAATCACAAAAGACTTCTACCAACTCCGGAACACACGTCAGCCGCCTTCACTGGCAGTCTCTACCAAGGCCAAACTCGAAGGCCGAGTCCGCCCTGGCCACGCTGCGAGGGAACCTGACAGGGAAGGCGAGACGTGGCGACTGCGCGTGCTCACACTGTCCGCCCACCTTGAGCGGAAACTGGAAGCAAGACAGGGCGACTGCGCATGCTCATATAGCCCCCGCAACTCCCAATCGCGGCCCTGGACGCCACTGCAGCAACGCTCCCGAAGTCAGTCTGGCATAAGCCATTCCTTTCTGCGACGTGGACACTCTTCCCTGGCCCGTTTGGAAGCCCACACACATGTCTGTTTCTGAGCGTTCCCGCTCAGGCTTGCCAGTAGTCAAGATGGCTACTGGAGGGCGGGGCTCAGACGGAGCCCTTCTATTGGGCCAGATCTCACTGTCCCCACCCACCTAGCCCTGCGTGCGCCGCCATGACCCTCTCGACGCGTGCGCGGCGGCGGGGCTGGGAGGCGGGGCAGCCGGGGCTTCCGTTTGCGGCCGCTGCTGCTCCAGCCGGGCTCCCGGCGTGGTGAGGCAGCCTCGCGGCTTGAGCGCCGAGGGAGGACTGTCCGGCTGGCGCG